GGAAAGAGGACTTTGGGAGTCCAAAGAGTAAAGGGGGAATCGGATTGGCTACATAATTTGTGGGGCCCAGTGCAAAATGACAATGCAAGGCCACTTGGTCAAAGATCAAGAGATTCAAGATGATGAACACAGGGCATTAAACCAAGTGTGAAATCCTTTTAAAGGCAGGGGCCCATGTGACCACACAGGTTACATGCCCATGAAGCCAGACCTGGAAGGAATCCCTATTGCTCTTTTCTTCTCTTTTTACTCTCAGTGCTCACCCTTGAGTTAGGCCCAGTCATAAGAAGTGTATAGGAGTATAAGGAGGCTAAAACCCTGGCTTTGTAGCCAGAGGACCAGAAAAAGAAGCTGCTGGGTGAATGTGCAGCACACTGGTGAGTGTGCAGGAAAACACGGAAAGGAGGGAGCCAGAGAAAGTGATTCCCTTCAACCCTGTGAATGAAGTCTGGGCTTAGCCCTGAGCTGTACATGTATGGAACTGATGTGAAGCATCAAAGTGAAGGCTTTGAGAACTATTGTGTAGACAGACCACCGTCTGGCCCCTGGGTAGCATATAAGCAAGGTGAAGCCAAATATCACTTCAAAGTCTTTGAAAACTAATCTGATATTAAAACCATGGTCTATTGAAGGTATATCAGGACTTGTAGTTTGAATCTAATCAGATCGACTGCTTGCTAAAATACAAAAGTCAACATTCTCCAGAGGATTTTAACAGGCTCCAGAGTCTCATAAAATAATATTCAAAATGTGTAGGATACAGTCTAAAATTAATCAACATACAAAGAACCAGGAAAATCTCAACACTTCTCAAGGGAAAAGACAACAGATGCCAACACTAAGATGACTGAAATTATGGAAATATCAGACAAAGACTTTAAAGCAACTGTTATAACCATCCTCTGTGAAGTAAGGGAGAACACTGTTGAAACAAATGGACAGATATAAGTTCTCGGCAACGAAGCTGAAGGAATAAGAACCAAATGGGAATTTTAGAACTGAAAAACCCCACTGGAGAGGTCCAATGTAAATGACAGAACACAGTCAGTGAACTTGAAAATAGATCAATAGGAACCATTGAATCTGAACATAAAAGAGAAAAAACGATTTTAAAAAATGAATAGGGCCTCAGAAAATAGTGGGACATATATCAAAGTGTCTAATATTCAGGTCAGTGGAGTCCCAGAAGGGGAAGAAAAAGAGATTGGTACAGAAAAAAATGTTTGAAAAAGAAAACTTCCCAAATTGTAAAAGACAAATATTTACAGATTCAAGAAATTAAGTGAATTTCGAACAGGACAAATTCAAAGAAAACTAATCCAGACAATACAATACAACTGCTGAAAACCAAAGATTTTTAGAAAAGTATCTTGAAAGTAACCAGATAAAAAACAACATCACATATAGGGGAACGATGATTCAAATAACTGCAGATTTCTCACCAGAACCACTGAGGGCAAAAGGAAGGGATACCATATTTTCAAAGTGCTAAAAATAGACTGCCAACCTAGAATTCCATATTGTGCAAAAACATCCTTCAGGAATAAAGGCAAAAAATAAAGGTATTCTGAGATTTTAAAAAAATGAAAAAAATTTGTCACCAGTCTAAAAGAAATAATGATGGAGTTTCTTCACGTTGAAGGGAATGATGCCAGAGGGAAACTTGTGATTTCAGGAATAAGGAAAGAGCAACAGAAATGGTAGTTACCTGGATAGATACATTAGACTATTTTTCCCTTAGTAACTTTATCAAAAGGGCCATGTGGCACTACTGAAAGCAGAAATTATAACATTTTTCTGATGGTGTTTTGATACATTTAGATGTATTGGGTTGGCTGAAAAGTTTGTTCGAGTTTTTCCTAAAAAAAAACCTGAACGAACTTTTTGGCCAACCCAGTAATACATACGGTCATTACAACAAAAAGGGGGGAAAGAAAAAAAAAACTCTACAACTATAAGATTTCTACAGTTTACTAGAAATGATAAAATATTAACTGTAAGTAAACTGTGAAGAGTTATATATGTATACTGTAATCCCTAGAGCAACCATGAAAAGTATTATAGAAAGAGATATAGTCAAACCTCCGATACTTTGAATACTAAACAGTATTCAAAGAACCCAAAAGGAGGCAAAAAGAGAAAATGGGAAAGCAAAAGGAAGGGTAGAACAGAAAACAAATAATAAAATGCAGACCTAATAAACATAATAATTACATTAACTGCAAATGGTCTAACCACACCAATTAAAAGCCAAAGATTGTGGTTGCCAGGGCTGGGAGCAGAGGGGAATGGAGACTGACTGCTTACTGGGCATAGGGTCTCTTTTTGGGATGATGACAATGTTTTGGAATTAGACAGTGGTGACGAATGCACAACATTGTGAAGGCAATGAAAACCACTGAATTATATATTTTAAAATGGTTAAAATGGTGAATTTTACCTCGATAAAAAAATTAAAAGGATGGAAAAAAATGTATCACACAAATATTAATTAGGACAAAGTTGGAGCTCTAATATTACATGATTTTAAGGTAAAGATTGTGTTATCAAGATATTTTGGTATTCATGAAAGGAAAGACACATTGATCAATGAATCAGTATAGGAAGTCCAGAAATTGACCCATATTCATATATCAATTAGCTTTTTACAAAGATGCAAAGGTAATTCAATGGAGAGTAGATAGTCTTTTCAACAAACGATGAAGGAATAATTGGCATCCTTAAAAAAACTGAACTTCAACCTATAAACACTTTTAACAGAAATTAACTCAGAATATATCATAGATCTAAATGTACAATGAAAACAAAACATTTAGAAGAAAATATAGGAGAAAAGTCTTCGTGACTTTGGAGTAGGCAAAGCGTTTTAGATAAAACTAAAGTTTTAGATAAACTAAGTAGGATCCATAAATGAAAAATTTTGATATGTTGAACTTCATCAAAATTAAAACTTTTTCTCTATGAAAGACAATGTTAAGAGAATGAAAAGACAAGCTACAGACTAGAGAAAATATTTGCAAATTACACATCTAATAAAGGATTTGCATTTGGCATATATAAAGAATTTTTAAAACTCAGCAGTAAAAGACAACAACTCAGTTCTTTAAAAATTCGCAGATTTGAACAGACACTTATACCAAAGACGATATACAGATGTCAAATAAGCTCAAAGATGCTCAAAATCAATGGTCATTAGTAAAATGCAAATTAAATCACAATCAAATAGCACTACACACCTATTAGAATGGCTGAAATTTAAAAAAACACTAAAAACACAGAAAAGAACTAGCAAAGATGCAAAGGAATTCTAACACTCATACATCCGGTGGGAATGCAAAATGGTATAGCAATTCTGGAAAACCACTGGGCAATTTTCTATAAAGTTAAACATACATTAACATGTCACCTAACAAACCTACTCCTAGAGAAATGAAAACGTATGTTCACACAAAACCCTGTACACAAACGCCTACAGTAGCATTACTCATAATCGTCAGAAACTAGAAACAACCTAAATGTCCTTAAACAGGTGATGGTTCAACAAATTGTGGTACTGCTCATACAGTGGATGCTCAGCGGTAGAAAGCAGCAAGCTCCTGATGCATGCAACCACGTGGATGACCGTATATGCAGCTAAGTGAAAGAAGCCAAGCTTAAAAGGTTACATACTGTATGATCCCATGTGGATCCCATGTGGATGGCATTCTGGAAATAGTGAAACAATGGAGACAGAGAACAGAAGGTGGATGCCAGGGGTTAGTGGGAGTGGGGGGAAGTTGACTACAAAAAGGGCAGCACAAGGGAGCTTTTTATGGTGGGGGAATTGTTCTGTGTTCTGATTGTGGTGCATCTATGACTCTGCACTTCTCAAAACTTAAAGAGATGTATACCAAATAAAAGTGAATTGTACTGTATATAAATTAAAAGTAAACTTAAAAAGCATAGAGGTACAAACTACTACTTGCAAAATAAATGAGTCACAGGTATGAAATGTACAGTACAGGGAAAACAGTCAATAACTATGTAATACCTTTGTATTGTGACATTTATCGTAACTAGACTTACCATGGTGATCATTTTGAAAGCCACAGAAATATCGAATTACTATGTTGTAAGTAACAGGAACTAACAGTGCTGTAGGTCAATTATAAATATAATTAACACTATTCTACATATTAAAGTTAAGTAAATCCTGAGTTTTCATCACAAGGAAAAAAATTTTTTTCTATTTCTTTAATTTTGTATCTATATGAGATGATGTATGTTCATTAAACTTATTGTGATAATCATTTCATGATATATGTAAGTCACATCACTATGCTGTACACCTTAAACTTATACAGTGCTATATGTCAATTATACCTTAATAAAACTGGAAGAAAAAAATTATACACAGCATTATCCTTCCTCAAGTGTGGAAGTAGAGACTATATGATAATCCATCATAAATAAACTGAACTTTAAAGTTTAAAACTCCTTTATGTTTCATAAAAATCGTGTAATTTAAGTTGTACACCTCCATTTATCTTGATTTTTAAAGATTAATAAAGACATGTTGATATGAAGATAAATGTTTAACAAATGTACTGGGACAGGAATAAAACTCTCCCGACTGCTATAACCTCTCTGCTATAACCTACTTTCTCCTGCTGGTCCAAAGTGAGGTCAGAGGTTAGTTTCTCCACCTGACCCAAGTGAGGTCAGAGGTTAGTTTCTCCCGTGCACACAGAACCCAGAGCTCCCAGCTCCTGTTCAGAAGGCCACCCACAGCACCTTGGAAAGTCTACCCCAATTGAAACCTTACCACACCAATGCTTTCAAATGAAAAAACGGCTGTTCCAAAGAAGAGCGAGTAGGTCTTCCAATTTGCTACCAGTGGCAAGTGGCTGGGGTCTGGAATTCCCTATGGGGGAGAGAAATGTGGTAAAGACATTTTCTCTCCAAGCATGTTTGGGATCCCTTAAGAGAAGAGTGTTCTGAGAGTAAAGCTGAATTATAAAAAAAATTGAATATCAAGAAATTCAGAAAACTTCACAAGGAAGTAGGCCACAATCAGAGTTGATTTTAACACTTCCCAATACCAAAGAGCCAGAGGAAAGAAAGATTAAGGTATTATCAAAGTACTGAAGGATCAGGGATCTCACAGAGGGAGTCTGGTTTATCAGAATCCTCCAGAAGAAAACCTTGCACACCACAGGTTAGTACTATAGCCTAAAGTGCCCAAGAACACTTTGAATGTACCAGTGGTTATAGACGTTGGAAATTACTTTGACTATAGTTACAGTGATATTCTAGGGAGCCCGAAGTAATTAGTTAAATATGAAAGTCCCCTTTTCTTCTTCAATGAGCTGTAAATAGAAGGAGAAGAAAGCGTGTGGAATAAATATTTTATGTACCCTGTGACCTAGTATGTGAAAATAATGACAGAACAATTTCTCTAATTGAGCAACCTCTGGAATAGTCCAAAAATAAACCAGAGGTAGCTATTTCACTGGGAAATTCAATTTTGTAGAATCTATCAATATTGCCTTAAGACTTATCTGTGGTGATCCTAAAATATTTGGCTAATCTCTTATTTTTACTAAATTCCATGGACAAAATAACATTTTTTTCTTGTGACTTCTGAAAGAGGAAAACGTCTGTAAAGGTATTAGGCATGCCAAGGGTCATTTGGCATGGCAATTAGGCAAGGGTCTTCTGGATTTAAATTTCTACGTAGGCTTGTCCATTATAAAATGAAAATTAGAAAGGAGAGAAAAGTGGGAAACTGAGGGAAAATGAATATCCATACTCAACTTCAAAGACGTGTGATTTACATCATGATAGATTTGTTTGTGGTCTTTCAAGACTTTCTATTTATACCTCTGTGACTAAATATTAGTTGTTTTCTCTTGAGTTCCCTAGGGGTAATTTTGCAATTACTTGGAATTATAGCTTAGAGGATGTAAGACTAGTTCAATAAGGTTTAGCTGTGGTAGAAAATCCTGCTTTTTATCTGCCTTTTGCTGCTATCCAACCATTACAGGAATGGTCTGTAGTTAACCAATCAAGATATTTTCCTTGCAAAGCATAATGTTTTTCTAAAACCAGGATTTGACATAAAACGAGTATTGGAGAAGCAACATCAAAGAGGAGATACCCAGAAAAATGAGGGTGCACAGAGACAGCTTTGTTGAAGAAATGCTACAGTAAAGTGGGCTCTAAGCTGAAGAGGGGCGTGCATATGTATCTACCCTCAGGGCTGGCCCCAGGTGTCAGTCTATCATTGATAAAAGGCTCTGCTCACTAGAGGAGTGAGGAGTGTGGTGTGCTAACCTGGATGATGGACTGGGTGATGATGATCAAGCTGACCAGCATGGTGATGTTGGCCAACAGGGAGAAGATGGAGAGGGCTCGGAGGTTTCTGACGAACACCAGAAGCACCAGGAAGGGCAGGAAGGCAAGCATGTAGAGTCTCGAGTCCATGGTGGGCGTCAGGATCACTGTCCTATTGTAATGGCAGTTGTTGGTTGTGCTATTAACCGCTTCCACTACCTGGGAGACGAATGGGAAAAGCAAGGAGAATATTCGATGAATTTTCTGGCCACATCATTAGCTCAGAGCCTGGCCCGTAATCAGACTCCCTCACAAAGAGCTGGCATGTCTCACGTGCCAGGGTCTCAGAGTGAGTTAGAGCGACTTTAGGACTTTTTACTGCTAATCTTCTGCACCATCCTTCCTCAAAAGAGGCTGCAGAAATAACTTTAATAAAAAACGAACTTAATAAACATAAATACCTAAACTTAGAGTGGCTATTTGTTACCTTTTGGCAACGCAGAATCCATTCCTCCTGATTTTCATTTATTTTTGGTGCATTCTCTCTCACCTGAACACAATCTTGGTGGACTGTAAATCACAATCATGTGGCAGAGCCAAAGCACTGCCTTTGACTCAAGCACAGGCACTCACATCTCTCCCTGGAATATGAATCTAAATAACAAGCAAAATGACACAAGGCAGACCTAGAAAGGGGTAAACAGTAATTATGATAGGGAATCCCTGAGGAGACTGCTCACCAATTCTATCGACATCCCCCTAGCTGCCCTGGTTCCTGCTCCTGTCCTTTTCTGAGACCCATTTTTTTTTTTTTTTTTTTAGTTTTCTCTGTCATTTTGGAAGTTAGCTAATATTCTTCCACTAAACTCATTTTCTGCTGAAGTTCCACTGAATCTGTTTCTTTTGCTTATAACCAAAAAAGCTCATCACTTACTGTTTCTTAATTGGACCAACACTGACATTTTGAGTGAGAGAACTCTTCCTTGTGAGCATCTGACCATTCATTGCAGGACATTTAGCATCTCTGGACGCCACCCAGTAAAAGGTATTAGCATCCCCCCGTCACTGTGACAAACAAGGAACACCCCCTGCACACTGTACAAATACCTCCCAGCAAAGTGGGGGTAGGAGGGAGGGTACCACCCTCCTTTGGAATCAGCAAGCATGACTTAATGGCTACAGTCTTATTGTGCAAGCAACACATTCCACTGCAGAACAATTAGAAACTAGATTTAAGCAAGAAAATGTAAAATCAATGATAATCTCAGTACCTATGGGTTGCCATGGTAATGCCTTGCAATATATTCATCTGTACATTTTCTATGCAGTATCACAAATTACATGTATTACAAGCATCCTTTTTATTTTACAAGACTGAAATTATAGTACACACTCTTATTTTAAAATTTCCTTTCCGGGACTTCCCTGGTGGCGCAGTGGTTAAGTATCCGCCTGCCAATGCAGGGGACACGGGTTCGATCCCTGGTCTGGGAAGATACCACATGCTGTAGAGCAACTAAGCCCGTGTGCCACAACTACTGAGCGTGTGCTCTAGAGCCTGCGAGCCACAACTACTGAGCCCATGTGCCACAACTACTGAAGCCTGCACGCCTAGAGCCCTGCTCCGCAACAAGAGCAGCCACTGCAATGAGAAGCCTGCGCACTGCAACGAAGAGTAGCCCCTGCTCGCCGCAACTTGAAAAAGCCCATGCACAGCAACGAAGACCCAATGCAGCCAAAAATAAATAAATTAATTAATTAAAAAAAAAATCTCCTTTTCATTTAACACATCATGAACACTTAGATAAATCATTGTCCTGTTTTTTTCTGATTCCTCACTACAGTAGGAAAATTACTTGGAACATTAGCCAGGTATTCAAGGCCTTCCACAAATGGACCCATTCAACTGTGAAAGCTCTTCCTCTCCCGAGGCCCACACCTTCTTCTACAACCACTTGCATTGCCTCTCCTGAGCAACCCCCGTACGTTCCTGCCTTCAGATGTTTATTCCTCCTCCCACCTTGGCTACCACTGCTTCTCCAACCTGCCCTTCAATGCCCAGCTCAGGTGCATCTCCTCAAGGGGGGCTTCTCTTGCTCCAGTGATCTCTCCTGCTCCCATACATTTCTGCCCCTTAGTTCACAATTAAGCATCCCCAACCTCAGGGTGTTAGTGGAGTCCTGACCCAACACCAACATATTATATTGATATTTAGCTTTTTATATGTCTTAGAGCACATCCCACTTAGTCTGCAAACTCCTTGAGACAATGCTTACCTTGTCTCTAGACAGATGACTGATAAAGTTCTGCTGATGTCAGATTGATTTCCAAGCAGCAATCTGGCAATTAAGAGCCTTCAAATCAAATTCCTTGACCCAGTAATTTTACTTAAAAAATACATATACTAAAGTAATAAAGGGTTGTACAAAGACTTGTACAGATTATAGTAGAAAAACAGAAAATATCAGATGATAAAACACTAAGTCATCTGTATGATGGGAAATTATAAAACTATTAAAAATTACACTAAAAAATTTAAGGACATCTAAAAATGCTAATCAGTTAATACTCATTTAAAACCATCCATGAGTGGTTGGATTAAGAATAATTTTGTTTTATTTTGAGAAGCAGTATAGCATAGTGTTTAAAAAAACTTGAGCTGTGATGTTAAAAAGGCCTGTGTTTTTAACCTTTGTTCTGTGACCATATTTATATACATTATAGAGTCTATAACATCAGTTTTCTCATCTGCAAGATGGGAATAACCATAGCACCTACTCTGATAAGACCATGGAGAGAATTAAATGAGGGAAAGCTTATAAAATGATCACTGTACCTGACACATAATAGAAGCTAATTCTGAATTCTTACTATTTTTTTCCTTCTTTTTAATTTTTTGTTTACATTTCCAAATTTCTGGTATTACTATAAACAGAAAAAGAGCCCTGAAGAATAGTTTTATTTTTTAAGCTTATTGATTAAGGATAGCCTCTGTTATTACCCACATTATTTTGCTCAAATTGCTCCAAGATAACAATTGGGTAAGAACAGAAGAATTTCTCGGGGACAAAAAACTGTTAAACCAAGGAGATTAAACAGCTAAAGGTAGATAAAGATGGCCCAAAGATTAGGTATCATTCAAAAAGACCTGTATCAGTTTAAGAACAGTTAAGGATGATTATGTACCAAGGCAGGATGATTGACAAAATCCAGCTCAATTTTAAAGACGAACCTTGAGGACAGGTCCAGTTTTAGAGACAACTCTTGGACAAAGGGTACTGTGGATAAAGTAACCACTTAACAGAAATCTGCAGATATGTGAACTGGGGGAAAGCCTGGGTTCTTTGATAACACTCAGTTTAACTTTCTGCATTGTATGATGAGGATACTAGGGCCCAAAGAGAAGAAGCTATTTGTTGAACAACTAGAAAAAGAGGACCCTCCTTTTCCATGTTCTTTTCCCTCCCACCTTCTCTAGAAGACTCTACCTGCTTTAAATTATCAGCCAGAAACACAATGTACACGCAGCAGAAGCCCATCTGGGTGACTATAAGAAAGAAGCTCACGACACGCCTGAAAGAGAGGAGAGAGAGAAAAAGAAAAAAAACTTGTTATAAAAGAAGAGCTGGCTTGTCATTTCCGTTTCTGTTCCCAGGGGTTGGTAACCCTCGACCAGCACCCTCGGTCCTGCTACCACAATCAACAATGGGGCAGTAGAAGGGATGTAACAATAGTTCTTTGAAAAACATGTTTCTCAACCACTTCCACACTCTCAACTCAGCAGTGGTAAAATTCTTCATCATCAGGAACCTTGCCCCATACCCAGCTCTGTGTTGATACTAACTGATGTAAGGCAATAGGCACAACTTATTAGCAATCATTAAAATTTTTTCCTAATTCGGCACTGAAGATAAACAGACAAATAACACATGGTCTTTTCCTCTAGTGGTTTAGAGACTAGTGGGTGAGATGGATAAAAAATAATATGGCGGGACTTCCCTGGTGGTGCAGTGGTGAAGAATCCACCTGCCAATGCAGGGGACATGGGTTCGATTCCTGGTCCGGGAAGATCCCACATGCCGTGGAACAACTAATCCCATGCACCACAACTACTGAGCCTGTGCTCTAGAGCCTGCGAGCCACAACTACTGAAGCCTGCACGCCTAGAGCCTGTGCTCCACAACAAGAGAAGCCACCGCCATGAGAAGCCCGTGCACTGCAACGAAGAGTAGCCCCCGCTCGCCGCAACTAGAGAAAGCCCGCATGCAGCAACGGAGACCCAGGGCTGCCAGAAATAAATTAATTAATTAATTAAAAAAAAAAATAATATGGCACTAAGGGCCATGGTAAAAAGGGCATTTTACCCGAATTAAAGAGCAGACAGCCTTCTTAGAAAAAACCAATACCTGAGCGGGAGTCCCTTGGGAAGAGGAGGAAAGAGAGTGAGAGAAGAAAAAAAGGAATAAAGAGGAGGGGCAGATGGTGAAGAAGCAGTGAGGAAAAAGCATTTCAGCAGAGGGATTAGGCAGATTTCTCTAGCTGCCATGTGGAGAGTCCATTGGAGGGGGCAAGACTGAGGATGGGAAGACGAGATAATGGAGGCGAAAGACGGCAGCCACCTGGACAAAGACGTAGCTGTAAGGGTGAGAGAACTGAAAGCATTTTAAGAGATACTAGGGAACTAGAACTTACAGAACCTGGCGACCACCTACATCTAGGGGAAGGAAAAAGGAAGTGACTTAAGGTGAGTGACAAGTTTTTAGCTTGGACAACAAAATGAACTGGGAAACTCAGAAGGAAGAACAGGTTTTAGGGGAAGAGGAAGAAATGGCACATTCAGTACCTGTATTGTTGAGCTTGAGGTTCCTACAGGAGACATTCAGGAGACAACCACATATTGGGGTCTTGAAATGTTGATTTGTCAGTGATGGATAAAGCCTTGAGAAGGCAAATTAGTGTTGGAAAGTGTGCAGAGTGACAAGAGAAGGCAGCGTTCCAAACCCTAGAGAACACCAACATTTCAACGGAGGATAGAAACAAAGAAGCCTGCAAAGCAATGACCAGAGAGGTAGGTGGGAAACTAGGATGAAAAAGGGTTTAATAGAAGCCAAATGAAGAGAGAATGTCTGAAGAAGAGAACAGTCAATTGTACCCGCCGCTGCTGAGAGGTTCTCTAGGGCAAAGAAGGTACAATAGGGAGGTCTTTTAGGACATCGGTGGAAAGGATTTCAGCAGAAGTATAGGACAGGAAAGCCAGGTGACCCATGAAGGAGGTGTGAATGGGGTGTATGGCTGTAAAATTAGACGGTGGGCTATTCTTTCATAAAGCTAGAGTGAGTTCCAGTCTTGAAGGTGCCCATTTTGTTCATCGTTGTAAACCCACTGCCTAAAGCACTTCCTGACACACTGCAGGTATTCAGTAGAAATCTGTTGAATAATCAGATAATGAATGAGATAGAGGATGGTATAAGGTCAAGGAGGCTTTATTAATTTATTTTATTATTTTTAAGATGGAGATAAATGAACACATTTCAATTCTGAGAGGAAGAGCCCATAGTTCAAAAAAGAAGTTCAAATTATAGGAGAGGAGATAATTAGTGGAGTGAAATTCCTAAATAGAGCAGGAAAATCTACCTTACATGCCCAACAATAAGTAGAAGGATCTGACGCGTTGCGACAGGCAAAAGCCACCTCTTGGGTCACACAACTGGGAAAATACTAGAAATCATCCCATAGCCTTCCTAGTCTGCTCATAGGCTGAATTTATTAATTCAGTATGTGAATGGGCTTTGGGTCAAGAGACGTGCCAGACCCACGATGCTCGTGAGCAAGGCACACCTCAGGTAGTGCAGTTTGGGGTATCACAGTTCAAGAGAGACTTTGATAATCTAGAGGTGAGTAGAAAAGAGTAGACAGACAGGGTGGGGAGAGGTGGGAAAACAAAGACAAAAGAGTAGATTTAGTCCCAAGTACCAGGAGACAGAAGGCGTTGACTGTTTCCATCATCTCCAAAAGCAAAAAAGTGGAGGTTGCAGGAGGTAGATTTCGGTTCACCAAGGAACCCTCAACGTCTTGGTCTTTTTCTCTCTTTTCTTCTCACTATATACTCTCTCCCTAAGAGACCTCTTCTGTCCCCTGACATCATAGCTGATGACTTCAGTGTCTCCTGCATGAAGACAGGTTCAAACCTACACATATAACTACCCACTTGACATCTCTGCTTGAATATACAATACAGAAGTCATCAGAAGCCTGAGTGAACCTCGACTCTTTCTTTCCTTTCCCCACAACCCTGGGGCCCAAATCATGACCAAATTCACTTTTCTCCATGCCCACTGCCACCAGCTTGGACCCAGCCATCACTGTCACCTGCCTGGACATTGTCGACAGCCTCTTCATGGGTCTAAGCCTACTCTTGCTCCCTTACAATCTCTTCTCCTTACAGAAGCCAGACAGATCTTCGGACAATGCAAATATGATTAAAACAGGAAAGCCTCTGATTAAAACCCTCCAATGGTTTCCTGGTTGCTTTTAAGAAAAGAACAAGACCTTGAAGAGGGTCTAAAATGTACAGCTTGTTTGGGCCCTTCAGGCTCCTGCCCACTTTTCCCTAGGGAATTCCTCATTCCTAAGAATGCCTTCCTTCAGAACTCATCTCAACTGTTCCATCCTAGGAGGCCTACCTGAACCTACGTACATCTCCTTACCTACTTGGTAGCAACTAGTACTTCTTTCCTTCATGCTACTTATCCCAGCGGCTATTAAGTAACTGTGTCCTAAACTGTTTACGGTCTGTGTTTCCCACTGGACTATGGATTCTGCACGGGCAAAGCTTTGTTTGCCTTGTTCCCCACAGTATTTCTAGGGCCTGGTACATAGTCGCAACTAGATAAATGTGGTTTAATAAAAAAGTGAATGATATTCAAGTTGCATAGCAAAGGAATGAGAACCCTGTACATACAAGGAGTGGGGCTGGATCAGGAAAACTGCCATTGAATCCCTTTCATGTGAAGCCCAGCGTTCTGTGTTACGTGAGCCAACTTTCCAGGGAAGAGAGCATCCCTGACAGCCACATGTCCTCCCTACTTTGGGCAAAGCAAGAACAAGGTACCTTCCCCAGTGTGCGTGGTTCCGGAGCCAGGTGCTGGGGCTGGCTTCTAGTCCGTGCATCACCGTATCCCCGTAGTCCATAAAGGGCTTGTTAAGTCTGCAGGAGAGACTGCATACAGTTACCGAGAGGCAGTTTAAATTAAGATAATATACTGAAAAGTCAGGAGACACATAGCAAGACAGAACCCAGCTAGAACGGAAAGAACACTGGGGCAGAAACCCAAGTTCTAGTTCAGGTTTTGACACCTGGTGGTATTTCCTTGGTGGCTTGTTTTCCTTACCTGTCAAGTGGGATGGTGACTATATAACATGGGTAATAATACACACCTCGCATGGGTACAGTAGTTCTCATATCCTTGATCCCATTGGATCCTCATGACAATTCTCTGAGGCAGGGTGAGGCATGGATTGTTTATGCCCAATTTATAGATGAGCCAAGCAGATAAGCACAATGGCCTAATTGAGATCACCTAATGAGTCATGTGGTAGAGCTTCATTTAGGTCCCTGCCCCAAATGCTTTTCTCTTTTTCTTGGCCTTGTTGGAAGAAATTAAGAAGTGAACTCTTGTTACATGTGGGATGCTTCTGGGATGTCCCTGAGAACCAAGTACCAAAGGAAGTGACAAGAGGACGGTGTTTTCCTCACCTGTGGCAGAAGCGCTGGGCACACCTGACCAAGATGTGCATACAGTGGCAGGAGATGAAGCCCATGGCCAGCAAACTGAGAGGGCCCATCTGGAGGAAGGGCCAAGGGGCAAGGGAAGAGAGAAGAGAATGGACTTGTGAATAACTCGTCAGGAGAGATTTGGTAGTGCAGATATTATTCCGGACTCAAAGAATTTTCTAGCAAACTGGTTTGCAAACCCTTTTTAGCAGTAACAGCGATTCTTTCTTTTCTTTTTTCTTTCTTGAAGTATACTTGACTTACAATGTTATCTATTCTTGCAAAGATGCTCTCAAGTCGTACTCCGAGAAAGTGCAAAAGGCAATCACAATGGGGTATCGTGGAAGGAGTAAGGGCTCAGAACTGCGGTCCTTAGTGGCCTCTGAGGTGCCCCTGAGAGCTAGTGCTCTACAGAGCACAGCTGGAAAACTAGTCATAGTCCAACCCTTGCATTCCACAGGGGAGGAAGCTGAGGCCTGGACAGTGGACAACTGACTTGCTGAGGCCACTCAAAGTCTGTGGCAGGGCCAGAACTCAAACCTAGGCTAGATATCTAGACTCCAAGTCTGGACCAAGCTGCCTTTCAGAAAGATTGCTCACTGTAGGCCACTATAAACCTTTAGAGGCTGTCCTCCTACCTCCTTGCTACCATCCAGTTGTACTGGCCCCACCTGTGGCAGCCCCTCTTACCAGGATGCCTGCATTCTTCATAGCCAGGGGTAGTCCCAGGACCCCTGTGCCTATGTTACCTTTCACCAGGTGAACCAAGGTCTGGAATGCTCTAAAGGAGAGGAAAAAGACATGAGCATGTGGGTGTGCAGAGGTGAGGAGATCCAACAGGCATTCTGTCCCAGCGTGCCCACACCTGAGTTGAGCTGGATAGGTGGGCTCCTGGTTGTCTCTCAGTCTCCACGGCCTTTGCTGGCACTCTGAGTCTCGTGTACGGTGAGCTAGAATCCCAGTTTGCCCAGAACTGTCCTGGTTTTATCAGCTAACACTCAATATATGTCATTAGAACACTTACTATATAACAGACATTATGCTAAGGATTACATGTATCATCTCATTTAATCCTCTTGTCAAGACAAGGAAGCAGGTTATTGCCCTTATTTTGCAGATGAGGAAACTGAGGAATAGAGATTTTTAAAAAATGACTTATCTAAGGATATATTGGGGAGCCAGAATTTGAACCCAGAACTGCCTCAGAGTCTTTGTTCTTCATGCCACTTCTATTGGACTGCCTCCCGGAAAGGAGCCCAGAGAGATGGGTTAAAGGGACAGCCCCATTTCATAATTGAGGGAAATAAGGCTCAGAGAGGGCAGCGAACAGCCCAAGGTCATAATACTGGTAGCAGATATAGGACTGAACTCAGAGAAAAGGAGAAAGGGCAGGCAGCAAAGAGAAATTATTGTGACTAATGAAGAGGTCAAATGACTTGGTCCCCAGATGGGGTCTGTTGGGACAGGGTTGTTTAGGGTTTGGGCTCCGGAGGGATTTTATTTTCCCTCAGGCCAGGACATCAAACTGGGGAATGGCAAGTCTTCTCCTACCTCTGGCCAAAACAAAACCCAACACTCAGACTTTTAAGACAGATGTGAAGGTGGTCCAGAAGACAAGGTCTAAGCCACCCGGGGTAAAGTTCTAGGGAGGTATCCTCTCTGGTGGTGAATTAACTAAACAACCTATTTTTACACCTCTTTGTACCTGGACAAGGTTAAACTAAGATGAGTATCGGGTTAACATTTATAACTTGAGAAACCTTGGAAATTCCCCATGAGAGCCTTCCAAGTGAAGAGACTTACTATGAAGAACAGCAGAGGTATTATGGAAGGAGCCTGGTCTCTGGGGTTGGACAAACCAGGGATTAAAACCCAAGGCTGCACTTCCCTGGTGGTCCAGTGGTTAAGACTCCACGCCTCTACTTCGGGGGCATGGGTTTGATCTACTACTTAACTAGCTGTGTTATCTTGGGCAACATGTCCACTTTGCTGAGCCTCTATGAATGTTAGGAGGAATATTTTTGCAAGAACTGCCTCAAACATTCAGGGATTAATATAAATGTTCTTTATATTAATCCCTGAATCCTCTAGCTTCCTGAGGATCTGCCCATTTATTTGTTAAGGGTTAAAGAGAAAAACTGTGGGAGAAAGAGGGTGGAGAGTCTCTGCGTCCCTTTCTCTCTCCCTGTGGGTGTCAACATCGCTGATTGAGCACTGCACCCCACGGCCCTCCAATGATGGGTTTGTTTTGCAACTAGGGTCAAAGGGTCATTTGGAACTTTCTAACTAAAGGACTTAGGAAATCTGAATTTAACTTTGGGCCACTTAGACAATTTAATAATGTGGTGAGTTGTGCAAAGCACTGGGCTGGGAGGCAGGAGACCTGGGTTCTAGCCTTAACTCCTTTGGTGACTTCGGAACGTCACTGTAGTCACAGTAGTCGGCTTACGGGCATTAAGCTTGGGAGCTTCCAGCACAAATTGCCTTTGCAGCCACCCTGGGAAGGAGCCAACTGTTATTTCACAGGGGGGAAACTAGAGTACTAAGTTCTATCACTTGCTCAGGTTGGTAAGTAGCTAAAGTGGGAATTCAAACCCCGGTGAGCTAACTCCATAGGTACCATGCTTACCCAACCTGTTTATTACCTCCCTCCAAGCCAGGAGCTAGTTCTGACTTGCTTTCTTTCTTTGATTCTTAAGTAGCTAAAATTGCCATCAAATCATATCTTATTGGGTTGGCCGAAAAGTTCGTTCGGGTTTTTCCATAAAATGTCACTATTCCAACCCAACCGTTCAGGACTGGTTCCCTCAAGGCCTCCGATGGAGAAATAGCCCACCTCAGCAGTGGATGGCCCCAAGGCCTGGAGATCTCACCCTCAGGATCCTGAATTCTTAGCAACCCTGGGGGACTAGTCCTGGGGCAAGTGAACCCGGTCACAACGTCAGTCATTGTGTCTGTCCATCCCTGAATGGTCCTGCAGGGTGGCAGTGGGAGGAGCTTTGCCTGCCTCTTTCTCCCTCTTTGCTGCACACTCTCCCCGCCCCCCACCCACACAACACTCAACCTTTCCGATGTAACTGCCACAGGCAACCTCCTTAAATTCACACTGCCAACAATGTGTCCCCATTTTGCATATGGGGAAAACTGAGGCTTCGAGAAAGAAGGAGCAGACTCACACCTTGGATGCAAGTGACCTTTCTACTACACCGACAGGGTCAACGTTTTCTTCATAAAGCTGCGGAACCTGACCACCACGCCAGCCAGTCGCCCCACCCATTTTTCCTCAGTGAACTAGCCACGCAGCTTGAATGGTGGAGGCAAAGGGAGCTGGAGCTTGGCTTCCCTGCCAAAACTCTTTCAGTACACCCCTCCTTATCATGGTCTGAAAGCCTCATGAGTGACCCCCCCCTTCCCCCCAAACACACTCCAGGGAGGTGGAAGAACTAGACTGTTCTACATACTGTGCTTTTGATGTTGTCACTGCAGTTATCAATGGAAGCAGAGGTCCGGGTAACTGCAGGAAGGAGGCAATGCTTGGTTGTCTGTGGTTTTAGCTCGTGTCACCTTCTCCACCAAGAAGCTGGGGATTCTGCCCCTCTCCCGGACATTATCAGGACTGGCCAGGAGCAAAACTGACTCTAGGGCTATACTTCAATTAAAAAGAAATAAACAGACAGACAGACAGACTCTAGGGCCAGCACTGGAGTCCAGCCCCCGTCCTGCCAATGAGCAAGTGCGTGGCCTGGGGTAACTTGCCTTAGTTTCCCCACCTGCACATGTTGGGGGCTAGATCACTCTATCCTAAGGGCTTTCTGACAGTCTTCCCTCCTGCCCCTTTATGTTCTCAAATTGACTCAGTCTCGGACTGCACCTTTTGCAGCTCTGGTTTCCCCAAGGCTGCACGATGGGTTGGGGGTCAGACACACCCACCTCAGGATTTTTGCCACTGCAAGCTTCCAGGCTGGAAGGCAGAACTAGGGATGGCAGGAAAGAGCACTCACGTTATGCCCTTGGTCGTTTCCAAGTCCGGCGACTCAGAAGGGCTTCCATCCAAGAAACCGGAATCCTTGTTCTGCAACTTCTTGGCACTTTCGGAAGAGGACTTGAGGTCCAGTTTGAGGTCAACAGCTCCCTGGGGACCCCCGGCACTCTTTGTCATGGGCATGGCTGTTCACAAAGAGAGGGCTCCCGGTGACGGTGGGGTCTGCACTGAGCAGGAAGGTGTCCAGTCAGGTGCAAACCCCAGCTCGGCGGCTTGTGCCTTAGCAGGAGCTGGCCAAGCGGGAACGAGGCCCCGCCCACCTCCGCAGGAGGGTGCGCCTCCTGCCGCAAGAAGCCCAGTGGAAGAGAAGCAATGGCCAGGAGGAGGAGGGGAGGGGAGGGCACTGCGGAGGGAGTCATCCCCGCTTACCTATAGCAACAGTAACGGCACCAGCGACTACGACACTGATCATTTTGATAACTACTATTTATTAATCACTTCACTAAGGGATAGATGCTCTTCTAAGTGCTTTACCTATATTTTCTCACTTAGTCCTATAAATTAACTAACGAGGAAATCAGGCTCTGAACTAAAGGGACCTGCCTAAGGTCACATAGCTAAAAAAGTGACAGAGTAGGGACGAGAGCCCAACGCGTCAGGCTTTTTAGCCAATAACCTATTTCTACATCCAAGAGAATATCTATCCCACCCCGCCACCTCCGCTGGGGCAGGGGCTCCGCTTCTCACTGGCTGCATGCCTGCTCTAAGGCATCTGTCTGGGAGCTCCCCTTCTTAAGCTGGAAAAAAAGGAGCACTTACTCACCTCGAACTGCTTCTTAGCTTCTGTGAGGCTCCAGGGAGAGAGGAGTGGGGATTCTTTTGCAAAGGGACGGAGAGGCAGAGATTGTTCAACCCTTAGCCTAGCGCAGGCCTCAGGAGAGGGTGTGAGTTGCCTAAGGTCACACGTGGCAGTCAGGACAGAACTCTGCAGCTAAAGAAGGCTTTGGAGGTTTCCGTTCTCTGTCATTATCTCTGCTTCAGTGACGGATGAATGGGCCAAAATTTCCTCCTCCCTCAAAATTATAGCATTTACTCAAGCCATACCATTCCCCACGTCATCATCTCATGTGCCACGAGCTTTATTTAAATGGTCTCACAGCTAACTGGTAGCATTCGAGACAGATTTGTCTGGGCCCCTCCCTCACACGGGACCCTTTCCAAGGTCCTACATGCAATTTTGAATTTGTAATTTTGGGTTCTTTTTCTTAAAGAGGCTCTCTCCACCCCTTACTGCTACTCCCAATCCCCTTCCCAGTGGTATAAGCTTCAGACTCCACAAAGCCTAATTCTCTGGGTAGCACTGTTATTTTGTTTTTACAGATGTGGAAACTGAGGCTCAGGGAAGTAAAGAATAGCTTGCCCAAGGCCGCAGCAAATCCTCTGCAGAGCCCAAACTCTACCCTAGTCAGATCTTTCTATCTCTGAAGGCTGAGGCTTTGACCACTACACTGACCTATTGGTGTGAATCCTTGCCCCACTCTTCAAGTTCCTTGCCCTGAAATCAACTGAAACACTCACTGTGGTTTAAGAAACATCCTCTATTCCCTTGTCCAGCACCATTTACGTGTCAGTATTCCTGGCCTGTGGGGGCGGCAGAGATTCCATAATGTGATGTTAATCTCAGATCTCATCCACTGATAGTTCTTTTTTCTTGTTCAGGCAACAAGATCAGTAAATAAGATTGTCTTGAGATGTTCAGATATAAGAATAGTTCTTGGGGGCTTCCCGGGTGGTGCAGTGGTTGAGAGTCCGCCTGCCGATGC